GGCTCGTTAAAATGCTTCTGGGGGTTTCGGGCGCGGGACGCTTCAGGTAATTGGCGATTAGCGATTAAAACGAACGAACATCTCTTTCTCTCTTTCTACACCGTTCAAAACGCGTCGTCTTCTTGTCGCTGCCCTTTTCTTCACTGTCCCCAACCGCGTGGACAGAGTAACGTTCGTATAAAGCGCCTTTTATCGACTCACCTTAGAAAAGGAGAAAAAGAAAGGGGGAAAGAGGTCTCTGTGTAGATTGGCCGATTTTATCTTCTACCTGGCAACGATGACACTCGACCAGGCCGTTTTTGAAGCTTCTTTTCTCTGGTCGCGAGACCAGGGAGACGGAGAATGGCGTCCTTAATCGTGCGACTCGAGGCAACGATGATCACTTTCCGGACGGGATTGGGAGACATTTCTTGCTCGCTTGCCTGGGAATCCAAACGGGCCGCAATCCGCGCGAACGGTTACCGGCATCCGGATGACCGGAAATAAATACCGAACTGGCTGGCCACTAATTTGATCGTATTTAGCCTCAAAAGGGGGCTTGTTAAGCCGAAAATTGGTCGCCAGACGTCCACTGTTTTTAATTGCGTTTTATGGCCACGGTTATTAATTTTCATGCTGCTTTTTAGAACGGTACTAAAATTCTCACGGTATCGGTTCTGCTATCAGCTTGTGTCCAAAAAAAATAATAGTATTTATTTTTGCATCGGTACAGCAGGTATATGGAGTGTTAAAAAAAGGGTGCTTCGGGTAATATTCTGTCTGTAATATATAAGAGAGCTTGTACAGTATATAAATTGAAGAGTTAATTGGTTCGAAGTAAAAACACATTTTACGCTTCGATAATACAAGTTGCCGAAGTCTTGTTAGGGATTATATAAGATACTGGTTTTCTCTCTTTATAATCTTAAACTTGTGCACGATTTTAAATACGATGCCAGGAGAGATTTCAGCGTTTGTTCCGTAATAAATAGCACCATGCCTTTATAAAATTTACACGGAAAGTTCTGCAACACATCGTAAAACAGGATCATAACTTCATATATCCAACAACTTTAAAAACGATAAGTAACAGTTTCCGCAACCATACTATTCGAATTCCTTGACACATTTTAGTCTGTTTCGGAGTCTATAAAGAAATTATACATGATCGCTGTCCTGGTTATAATGTTGACTGCGATTAAATCGTGGTAGAAACCGGAGGACGTGCACGCCTGCTATTTACTCAAGATTCTCGCGGGATTGCTTTTGTTCGCGGCTCGGTATCAACGATCAGAATTATATAGCGAAAACGGCGAGCTCGAGTGAAATTAAATGCCGTGCGGCCACTTAAGGATCGACCATTGTGATTTGCGATTTTTTCCACGGTAGCGGTCTCGAATCCAGTCAGGTTAATTTGCCTTCTCGCCGATAACCGTTATTTCGGTATTGCTCGAAAGCGGTTACCCTTGTCCCGACGTCCGGTATTGGGATTAGTCATCTTGCTAATCCATGATGAGCCTGTACACGCAAACGATTTGCTCATTTATACATACGTGGATAATATACATGGATGATGTTGATCATTATCCTCAAACATATCGATTTTCGATCTGAACACTGTAGGTATGATTTGTACATTCAATACATGTTTATGATTGGTAAGCCAACATTATTTGATTAACATATTGCTACTAATTTTAACATGGAGGATATAGTATTATATTAGGGTATTTCAGAAAATATTGCACGCTGCGGAATGTTGCTGTAGCGTCTATAGGTAGTTATTTACATGAAGCATATGTAGTTTCTTACATTAATAGAAATTTTTCTTTCTGTTTATATTTCCACTTTTCAGTTAGGAGAATTTTATATATCTAGTATTTTATCATATTTTCTTACAGAATCTTTATTACATTGCAATGCAGTTAGCAACAGCTTAAACATTTTTGCCTCGATAGTTATTCACGTTCGTTCATTCAATTTATATTTTATAATCTATCGAATCATTTGTCGTCCGATATCCAGCGGTGCATTCATTTATTCAGCATCCAGAGGGACGCGTGGCCTCGAAGCAACTCGTTGAAACCTTGATAGCGCGCGAAACAATCCCACGACATTATTTCCTCTGCAGAGCTCCCCGTTTCCAGTTGTTCTTGGGCTTGCTCGCGCGCGCGCGCCCACCGCTTCTACGTACTTGTTACTGTGCTCGCCGCGGAATACTGTTCCAACTGGCGGGTTCATCGGCAATTTGAATAATTCTCTCTCGAAAGGAACGGTTTCTCATCTCGAATTCGCCTAACGTCCGATGTTTTTGTTGCACCGGTCGGCTCGCTTGCTATTTACCTCGGAATGCGAGTGCTTCTGCTCCACGCCACTTCGTAAATGTTCCATTCCCACGGAGAAAAGTCCGCGAAGCGACTCCCTGGTTCTGCCATCCGATTTCTGTTTTCCAAGTAAAAGTCTGTGAGTGTCCCCATTCAGGGTCCAACTTTCATTAAGACCAACGAACATTTACTTCCTTTGTGTAACATCCGTAAATTGACCTAATAGAAGAGTTGTCTACAGAACAATGTAGTGCCTCCTAAAATATCCCAGACAAATGGGGGGAGAAGAACAAAAGAACAGAAGCAAACTATCGACTCTCCGAATCTGTTTGGCGATCGAAATATCGCGTGCACAAGAAAGTTTCAAGGGAGTCTCTCTGGTTAAATCGATCTACTACGTTGATCTTCAGCGTGAAGAGCCAGGTTCGCGAAACCAGAGAGACCCTCTTCTCCGATTTTCGATGATCTAGATCTGGGTAGCACCAGGAAGCCAGGACCGAAGGCAAAATTACCGGTGCCAGTGGAAGGAGGCCTCGTTCGCTCGCCTCCAGAGGTCAGAGGGCGATAGCGGTACCTTCTTCAGAGCCAAGGAAGGCCTCATCCTCCACGTCCTACCACCTATCGTGCTAGTATGCATTGCACGCTCCAGTACGAACGTTCCTCGAGCTCGTGCTCGCGCGCATCCATATACACATGTACATGCAGATTCTTCTGCACACAAGTACAGACGGAACACACGGACCTGTTCATAGAGCAGGAGAAAAGTGGTCGTGCAACGAATGCTAAAGGATGGCCGGCGGCGGCGAACCAACTGTGCTGGAACAGAGGGCATGGAAGAAGGAGCGAGGGGGATGGGAGATGCCGGAGAACAAGGAAGAATCAACCGGGAGGATATTAGAAGGCACTCTCCCGCGGCGCTAGACGAAATTTGTCAAACAACCCAGCGGACCCCAATTTGTTCTGCTGCGTGTCTTTACCACGATGAAAGAGCCGTAGGTGGTTCTCTGAGATCCTTTCGCTGCACGATCGGTGGATGGTCGTTATCGTTGCTACCAATGATCTTATTAGGTTATTAAAAGCTCGAGAATTAATATCGTGTCTCTAGCTCGTTCGATACATTTATAAATCTTCCGATACCGATTGGTTCCTTTGTTCTGTACAAAAAGACACGTGCTACCGTGAAACGAATTAAGAATCAACGTTGAAGTCCACGTCATGTACCTATTTTTATCGCACACCGTTTAATCAAGATCCGAGTAGCTCGATTAAAATCATGACGTTATCAGGCGTAATTAGGCGACGAAAATAATGTTAATCAAGAGAATATCATACATACGGACGTATACATATACATACAAAGGGAGATACGGAGGGCGTAACACGCCATGTTATTTCAATTTGCATGGTGGCGGGTAATCGCGTTCCCAGAACTAATTTAGCCGTATCGGACGGGGGACACGGTCTGTGATCGTAAGCCAGATAACGTTGCAGATGATTATCGGACGGCGCAATTTCTTGCTCGCCGGAAACCGTAAGTAAACGCGCTAAGCCGCGCGTCAGATGGCCGCTACAAATTAACAGCCAGTTATTTACCGCTTGACACTGTTCAACGTCATAAACTTCAGCCCGCTACCATTCTAGACGTTCCCCGGTTTACTTCATTGTATGGTAATCCTTCACGAAATATGGAGAGGAAAAAGAAGAGTAAAAAAGTGAGAGAAATCGTTATGCAATTCTCACCGAGTTGTTTTCTCTGACTGTTGAATTCATTCATATACAGTAGTCGTAGAAAGAGCAACGCTACGACGTGTGTAGGATATATCCATCTGGAGATAACACTTCCAGATTCTCATTCGATTGCGTCACAAATTAACAGAATTAATGAGCAAAGCCGCGACCGTGACTCGTGACAGCAGTCACCACAGTATTCGAGAGATGAAAGGATGATCACGTTAACCCCGACGTTTGTTTTACGACGATCTCTCGTGACCGGTTAACTCGGACGTGTAACAATCATTTTCGTCGGAACGCTCCGAAAATGTTATCGGCGAAATGAATTGGGCAGTTTTTATCTCAAGGTCAATTCGTTCAGCCTCGCCTCTAAAGGGAAATTTTGGTCGGCCGCTAAAGACACGGAGGTGAACGAACTCCATAGG